GTCGGATTCGAACCTGGGCCGCTGCAGCAACTCCGTACATGGGTCGCCAGCTCTACCGACTGAGCTTACCGGGCACCCATCATATGTATTATTATTAAGTATTACCACTGTTGTTTTGTTGAGTTTTGGGACATAATCCCAAATGATTGCAACTGGGGTTGTCATGATGTTGTGATACTGATATTGACAATAACAGTGCTATTTAAAGTCAAATATTGATATCATGCTAATAATACACACATAATGATACTGTGTACATAATGCACATCTGGAATCATTTCTGTTTCTTTCTGTTCTCGCTCTGTAGTTCACACTACAACATAGTAGGTGGCGGTTATGCACCTTAAGGATTAACAGTTGATTAAAATAAAAAAAAAACATCCAACAAAAGATTAATTTGACTGATAGCATTATTATTATTATTATTTTTTTAAATCTATAGATATAGTGATAATATTGTCATAAATCATTTTGGCCACAATAATTGTGTAGTGAAAAGCTAATATTGTGACAGACTTATTTCCAACAATGTTCAAACCCAGAGAAATACATCATTTTATTCAAGGTAACAGTGCGTTTGATTTGGTCACCTGTCAATGGCATCATACCATCACCTCTAGTTGCTGTAACTGCCAGGTAACTGTCCATACAAATGTTTGACAGCACAGCTAAAAACTCTGAACTTTCAGTTCACATCATTCATATCTGAAACATCCCCCCCCCCTCTCTTTAGGCTTAAGGTTTCCATGGATGATGAGTGCAAGAGGCTAGCTTACATGGATTTCCTGTCTGCATTTGACCATAAACCAGAGAAGTATGAGCCTCCTCCTGCATCCCCTGATTCTGTGCGTCAGATAGAGTCTTTGGACAGCCTCAGTCCAGCCGTGGCTCTGGCTAGGATGCAAGAACTAGTTGCTGCCTCAGCAACTAATCTGTACAAGGTGCAGCTTACAACCATGTTCTTCAATTTTTCTTGTCATGAGTTTCTTTTTCAGCTGATCGCCTTTCTGTGGCTCTTTCTGTCCACCAGGCATTCTTGGCCTTTGACCGGAGTGGGACAGGGATGATTAAATCGCTGGAATTTCGTCAGGTGCTGGATAATTTTTGTGGCCACTTATCAGACAAACAGTACAGATACATGCTGACCAAACTGGAGCTGGACTGTGAGAACTGCACTGTTAACTGGAAGGACTTCCTTAACAAGTTTCAATCACAGAGCCTACTGGTAAGAGAAGCAGTTTCCAAAGAAGCTTAAAGGAATAGTTCAACATTTTGTGAAAGTCTTTTTTGCTTTCTTCCGATGAAAAGAGTGATATTAATCTCATGTCTGTCAGAAATGTATTATACCAGGATAAATCTCTTTGAGATGTATCATATTTATTTGAGTGTGTAGGACTTCGTGACATCTAATGGTAAAGTTGCAGATTGCAACCAACTGAATACCGTGTTGCATCTATAATGTCTTGTCCGATTTCTAACTTATATCGTTAAATATTTACACCCCTAGGACATAAATGTTGATCCGTAGTTCCAGCACATAACCCCATAAAACAGTCATTTTTACATGTCTCTTCCTGTACAGTAATATAAATGAGACACAATGTTGTCGATGTTACTTAACATTAGAGGTGTTGGTAGGTCCGGTCCACCCCTTTGATCTATAAATGGCCTGAAATATCTCAACAACTGCTGGATGTTGTTGTACCGACATTCATGGCCTCATGAAGCCTAGTGACTTTGGTGGTTCACTGACTTTTTATTGAGAGGAACATTTTGTGTGTTTAGTAAAATGTTCCGACAACTATTGGATGGATTCCCATGAAATTTGGTTTAAGCATTAATGTCTGCCAGGATGAATTGTAGGAACCACCATCAGGTCAAACTTTGTCTTATTCTTTGGTTTTTAACCAAATACCTGCAAAACTAATGACATTCCCATCAGCCTCAGCTATCGTTTGTGTTTAGTGCTATTTGCCAACATGGCAAACATGGTTACCATGATGACTGCTTAGCATCTTCATGTTGGCATTGTCATTGTGAGCAATTTAGCATATGATTCTAGAAATTAGTTCAAAGATCTGCTGTCCTTAATTACAGTCTCATAAAGCTGCTAGCATGGTTGTAGACTTGTAGTCGTGATATGCTGAGGTAGGCTAATCACATCATACTCAACACAGACATGAGATTGATATCCATCTTTTCATCTCACTCTTAAAAAACAAGCAATACTCCAAAATGTTATTCTTTTACTCCTAATCATTTTCTTCAACTGTGCGTGTGTGTGCGTGTGTTGTATGCTTGTGTACATAATGTTGCAGATGTCAGCAGACAGTTGCCTGATCAGGACTTGTGAGAAAGGGGCTAAAACCAGATCAGGACGGACCAAGACCTCTGAAAATACAAAGCACCTGCAGCAGATCCAGGAAGTCGTCTCAGGTCACTTGTATGAAATCAGCAGAGAGCTGATGGATTTGGACCCATCCAACAGCACAACAGTCTCTAAAGAGCAGTTCAGACAGCTGTGTGATCGGCACAGCCTGAGACTCACAAATGATCAGGTAAAGCCAGAGAATCTGTTTACTGCTGCTTATATTCCAGTGAATTATAATTCAGAAAATTGAAAGAGGAAACGTTCAAGAGAACAAACACATTTCCAACAAATCTCCCAGTGCTTTCAAGCTGAAACAACACATACTGGCATCAGTCCATGGCTACAAATGAGAAGATGAATCTGAATTTCAGTACATTTGCCAATTCCATTCTTCTTTAATCTGCTGTTTTCTTTAATTATTCTAATCAAAATCTAATTTATCTTTGTTGATAATTATTGACTGCATGAGAAAGTTAGTCATCTGTAAAGCCAATTTACATACTGAGTGTAACTCTCTTTGGGGTATCAGTCCCACCAGTGTGGGTGATTATTATGTGTGTGTTTTCCTTTTGCTTCTCAGTTTGAGTGTGTGTGGAGTCAGATGCCTGTGAATGAGCAGAAGAAGCTGCAGTACAGAGAGTTTCTGAAGCGATTTGGTGCTCTAGGCAGGTTCCCCCATACAGAAGCACGGGGTCCCACCAACAGTGTCCCATTGCCTTCACCTGAGCCCAGAGAAACTGCAGGTGCCATTCTGCAACGCACTACGGTACAGCACAAATCGATAGACCTGTGACATTTGTCAAACCTTATTGTTGCTCTTGTATAATAATAAAACCCCCCAAATAATAAGCTCATTTATGAATTATGTCAACCTTAGCCTTAGTTAGAATTTCTTTGCTGAACGCTGCAGTGTGATCTGTGATGCATGAAGACACCAGCTGCTTTGCAAAGCCAGACAAACTCAGTTTAGGTCTGGAAACCGCAGAATTATATTCGTGCTTCATTCCTGAGTGTGCGATGTGACATTTTGAGCACAGAAAAAGATTTGTTACAAAAGTGTAAATTATAGTTTTTTGAGAAATTATTATAAAACAAATTTGGATTTGAGCAAATAAACTCTGCTCAACATGACTACACAATAATAACCCCTCACTCTGTCAAATTTCCTGCTTTGTACGCTCACACCCTTGAACACCTAATCACAGGATCTCGCACACAGAGCAGGAAATGTAAGAGTTGGAAAATAAATTAGTGAAACTGAAGGAGAGAGATTATTATTGTGCACTTATGGGGCTAAATACATTTATTGAGCATTGAGAATAGATTTTTTCTTCTTTTGCTCAAATTGAACTATTTTTAAAAATCTTTTTCTGTGCTCCAAATGTCGCAGAATTGAGCCATGAATATAATGCCATTGAAAAAATCAGCTGAGCCTGTGTCAGACCAATCAGTGAGCTGTGTTCTCTGTGAACAACAATTGTCAGTGTGTGAGATTGTTGTGCCTGGAATCAGCTGCTTAGTACAAACCTCTCTTAATATGACACTTTTCTTCAGTGTAGTTATGCAGCCCCCCTCCTGACTGCCCCTCCTTCCTCTCCCAGTCTGCCCCCCAGTGCACCTCCAGGCATCCTCCCTCAGTGGGGAGGCCAGGAACAGGAAGCCCGCTGGGCAGCACAGAGAGGACGCTGCGTGGGGCGGTGCAGCACTGCTGGAAGGAGATCCAAAGAAAGTGTGCCAAGGAAGACCCTCAGCAGGAGGGTCACCTCAGCACTACCTCCTTCCTGGGTGAGCAGCAAACAAACAGTGACAGTGAGCTATTCCTTCCACCTGCTAATGCTAATGTACATGCAAATGACTGACTGTGTGTTACAGAGATCCTCCACTCTCTCAGCATTGATGTGAGTTGGGAGCAGTTTGAGCATCTGGCTGTGAAGTTTGACATCATGAATAATGGCTGTGTTTCATATCACAACTTCCTCCGTCACTTCCTCCTGAACCTTAAACCAGCAGAGACCAAGAGGGCATTTGAGCGACGTAAACTCCCACTTCTTATTACACCGGTAAGATTCTTTGTTATTCTGCAGTTCAGTGTCTGCATGCAATCAGTGTGTCCCAGATCCATCTAATATGCTTGAACAGACATCATGAGCTAATTGGAAAATGTTGTTTATTCTGCCACACACAGATCTGTTTTGTAAATCACATATCCTCTTTTAGGAAACAATGTATCCAAAAGAGATATGTACGTGTCTGTCCATATACAAGAGTGAGTCGTAATCTTTCTGTCAGATAACATCTTTAAATATAGCCAATGAAATCATTTCATCATTAATTTCAAAAGGCCTTTCTTATTTATGAAAGACATTTTGACATGTGACAGTAGAAAAGCACAGGTGTAAATGAAATAAATGATGACTGAATTCCATTTATCTGCTTCATTTTAAGTGTAAACCTGTCACGTCATCCACATGAGGGAATCTTGCTTAATGTCAAGTGGTGCAGATAACCATGGACAAAGACTAGGTTGGGTACCGAAAACACAGCGGTGCCAATATGGTTCCTATACAACTGGAATCTAGCGACCGAATCACAACCCAGATGTTGGAGCCTTGTTTTGGTGCCTGAGCAGGCAACAGAGGCATCGCTAGTTGATATTACAGCAACACTCTTACTACACGGTTAAAATGGCCAGCCAAATGGTCTAAAGTGCGGCTGTATTTAACTCTAAAGGAGTTCAGCACCCTGTGGGACATGCAACAAATGTTTGAGAACGTGTAAATGGGGAAGCAGCTGGTGACACATGGGATACACTTGCAAGCAGAGGGATGCACCGTGATTGACTGCCTGTGTGACGACAGTGAGGCCACGGAGAGGGGTCACATAGATATAAAACACTAGATGTGTCATAATTGACTTGCCATTTAGAGACCACTGATGATGACAACGACAGCAGCCTTTCCTCAGGTTGATAGAAAACTGATTCTAATATCTCTGCAAAAGATTTACTGAAGTTTGAAGCTTGAGTCTGTAGAATAACAACTCAAAATGTAGTGTTAAATTATTGTAGTTGGATTAGGTTTTATTCTTTCATTTGTTACATGTTTTGTAGTTATTGATATTATTATATTTAAATATACTTTAAACAGTTAATATATTGGTCAATTTCAAGTTCAAATATGTTGACCGTCACTGCTCCTTTTTTTTTTTAAATGATCAGTTTGGGCACCGTTAAGGCGCTGGTACAGTTTTAGCACTTTTGTTGGGGAAAAACCACAAACGACACCCAACTCTGAAAAAAGACTCTGACTATAGATAAATCAATATAATGAATTTATTCTTCGAGCATGGGCAACCATAACCATGGTTATCTGCACAATATTTCCTGGATTTCTGGTTTTTGTTTACCTTCACCTGCCTAACTAAAGAGCACCTGTGGGATCGGCCTCAGAGCCATGCAGCGATTCCTTCTTCCTATATTAACCATTAACAAGCCATTCATTATAATGTATACAACCTTATATAGGGTAGGCTAACTTATAAGGTACAACCAAACAAAATATTGACACTAAATCAAATGACTTAAGAGTACATGTTAGCAATTGGAAATATACTCTCCCGTCATGCATCCAGTGTGTAGACAGTCACCACAGTTGGAGTTTAGTATTAAACTGGGACACAGTATGTACTTTCAGCTACACATGCTGAGCAGCACATTAGCACAGTTCAAATGAGCTCTGTAGTCCCTCTGCTTAAGGTCTAATTTATTGTAGTTTTATTGGCTGCAAGTTTAAATTACGTTACAGTAAAGTGGGAGGGGTGGCTCTGGAATGTGAGGGGGCGGTGATGGGCGACGGCGGGTTGCCAGATTGTGTAAACTCAGCGGGGACCTCCCACCCTCAGGCTCTCGACTATCGCCTCCCATGACAAGCAAATTGGGCGAGTTTGGTGATTTGCAGTGCTTTTTTTTTGGCACGGGGGAGGTGTATATGAAGCTTTGAACAATGACACACGGGTGGGCATGTTCTAAAAGGACCCCCGCTGAGCAACTAAGCCGAGCCCCAAGCTTCGACGGAGAGTGTGGGTGAGGGCCTAATCTGGCAACCCACGAGCTGCAACCTTCCAAACCAACTTCGGAATCACAAAGACCTGCATTGTCTCAACCGACGCCACCATCTGTGTAAAATTGCAAAGACCCCCTGCATCGTTTCTGATTCGATGGTGTGTCTGTAGACCAGTTTACAGACTCTTTATCTGATCACAGAACAAAAAGCACTTTGTTCTTGTGAAGAAGTTAAATATTACCGATAATGTGGGGGCTCTCACCTCTATTTGTTGTTTTCTCTCTCGTTGTTCATGTCTTTCCTGAGACTTGTACTCCACTACTACTTGTACTAATCTGCTCCGGTCCAGACAAGCCAGGGTGTTCTGAGCAAAGACTGTGTGGAGGTCATGCTGAGGATCTACGATGTGGTCTGCTCCTCCTGGACCTCCATCAGACGCTGCTTCCTGACATCGGACCACACCCGCACGGGAATGATGTCAGTGCGGGACTTCAGGAAGGTGAGGTCCACTACAGTACAGCACGCCGCCCGGCAGAACTCCACCTGATGTCAGTCAATGATAAACTGGTTCTTTATGAATTAATGATGCAACTGTTTGAGCTCCGCTTGTGTCTCTTCTATCAAAATGTCTGAAAGAGAATGATGGAGTGACTGAAAATCCATGAAGCTCAAACTAGCAAAGACACACTCACACATACACACACACACACACCTGTTCACTTGACAGCCAATCAGTAATTTTAATTGTTAAATTAAACTGAAGGTTGAAACAAGACCACACTGACATTTTGGCCCAGGAGAACAGCAGCTGACACTCCTGTTTTATTACGCTCCCTGAGCTAATCAATAGAAACAATTAGCAACCTGGTTAGGGATGATGTGTCCTAAACCCACACCTAATACGCTAGGCCACAAACATTATGTGCAAATTCCAACTTCTGCTGTTGTTGCCCTGCAGGTGCTGTGCCATTTCAGCGTGAATCTGTCGGAGGAGGAGTTCTTCCACCTCAGCTCCTACTTCGATGCCAACACCACGGGGAAGATCTGCTACAACAACTTCCTCTGGGCGTTTCTTCACTGACCTTCACTCTGATGCCTGCAACTGCTTCAGGAAGCAACCAGCTAGGTATAACAGGCAATTGCCCTGAGGCCCCACACACTCAGGGGGGCCAGGTCCAGTGTTTGGCAATGACAACATTTCTTTGGTAATATTCACTATAAAAAGCAACATATAAGCTGAAATGGTGAGCACTTCAAAGTGGCTTCTGTATTTTTCATCTCCTGAAAACTTTTGAAAAATTTCTCTGTAAGTCAACATCCGTTGGAAAAATCTTAGATTAACATTCAATGCCAACACAGAAAATAGTGTTCCCTTTAAGTACTGAGCTGGAAAGTAAGGGCAGGGATTTTTGGGTGGTGCATCAATTTGTAGCATGTCTGACTTCACAAATGTGCAGTAAACTTCAACCTTTTTATTAACCACACCAACAATTCTAGACCTGCTCTATTTTAAAA